AAAAAATATAAATCCCACTTTAAAAAAAAAACTTTCTTTTTATTTTTTTAAGTAAATCAAGATTAAATAAATTTTTTACATAAATTTACATATAAAATTGAGGTACATCAAGTCATTTGACCTATAATTAAAACATTTTGAACTCCTGTAAGTGGAAATGTCCTATGCCTGTTATGTTTAGGCCTAATATATAAATATTAGCAATGTTATATAATTTATATGTTTTAAAAATAATAAGAATCAAAAAATTTTGAAAATAGTAAAAAAAAAAAAAAATAGTAAAAAAAAAAAATTCATTATGATAAATTAATTAGTCTGTCAAAAATTTTTTGATAAATTTTATTAGTTAGTAATCATACATAATTAACTAATTACTTGTTTGTCTTTCTATAACCTATAACCTGTCAATAGAGTTTAGAATACAGAGACATAGAACATGCCTTTAAAGGCATGTTCCTAGAGCATGCTTATAGGCATGCCTCAAGTTCAAAGAACATGTTCTTATCATGTAATGTTTAAAATTATTTTAATTGACTAATAAGTTCAGGTAAACTAGAACTATAGATACTAAATCAACATATAAGAATTTAAGAAGTTGTGAACTATGTATTAATTATATAATTTAAAAAAAACATGCTCATGGGCATGAGGAGCATGCCTTAGCTCAGAAGCATGCTCATATAGGTTTGCCTAATTTTTTCCCATATCCTAAATCCTATCTGCCAATTATGCTAATGTGACTGTGTTATAAATATTTTATCCCAACTAATTGACAGAATGCTGTCACCATAATACTGTCTATATATTACGTAGATAATTATCCAAATTTTTGCCATCAGTGGGTTTTGAACTCACCACCTACCACTTGGAAGGTTGTCAACTTATCCACTTCACTAAGTTACTACACCCCTTTTATTTTTTATTTAAAAAGTACTAATACTAAATATAATCTAAAATTTCAAACAAATCTAAAAAACAGTTTAAAAAGATATTTATAATTACCAACCAAGTTCACTAAAAATTTTTTTACTTTGATTTTACATGTTGAATCAAAATAAAAAAATTTCATCAAATCTTATCTGACGGTCGTCAGATATTTTTGTTTGAAGTTGCAGCAATCTACATTATATGCAGTTGATTCCATTGGTCAAAATTTTATGTAACCGAAATTTTTGGTGTTGTTGGGGTAATTAATCGATCTTACACCCTGTCAAATTCAGTACTAGCCTAATCTATTCGATGTCAGAATAAATTTATAAAATTATTAAAGCATGAAATGGCTACACCAGATAAAAAACAAAAAAATTAGAATTTTTTTTTGTTTTTGGATGTAAAAAAATTAATATTTTATAATTGTGTTTAGTACGTAAAAATAATGCAACACGTTAATCAGAATAAATCTTGTGCTCGCAAAAAATTTGGGTTAAATTTTTTATTTATGAAAACGATACTAATTACGAAGTTGAAGGTAAAAATATATTCCGAACTGGAAAATAATACGATCTATCCTTTTTTTTTGTTGCTACATTATTTATGATCGCCACTGTAGTATATATGTATATAAATATTATACTGAAATATTATACTGTATATTATATATATTATTGTGAAACAACAAAAATTAATAGACCCCGACTGTTCAACCAATTTGATCCAATCAAATTTTTGTCGATCAATTATTTAACCAATACATGTGGCCAAAACTTATTCAGTTACGTAACGGTAACACGTAGTTGTATTCCCTGATTATAAAGTAAATAATCTCATAAAAGATCACTCAACTATAATTTATTTTTGCTGCTAATAACGATAATCAATCGATAGAATAATAGGTGCACGAACATAAATTTAAAAGAACGTAATTGGCTTAAATTTCGCAGCCACTGAAAGGCGTTTGAATTAGTTTATCATGTGATTGTGATTAGTTTGCGGGACAATTTTATATCAGAAAAAAAGAACCAAGGTAAGCCTGACAGGCGCATAATTAACCCGAGAGTGGGATCTGTTCCCCAGTTATAGGATTTCGGAGTCAAAAGATGTTTATAAATAATTTGTGTAGAATACGAAACGCCCGAATAGTCTAGGACATATACAGTTGTAAGTGCATTATATGCGAGTCTATACTTGCATGGTCGCAGATCAATCTTATCGTGTTAGGAAAGTTGCACGACTTAAGACCATAAACTTCGAATAGGAGCTTTGGCGGTAATTCCCCTGTCAGGTTTATCCTTACACTAAATTTATTTCCCCTGGATTGGTACTACAAAATATTGATTACTAGATATATCGTGATAGCGCTTTCAATAGCGCCTTTAAATGGAAGGTGGCTTAAGAAAACATGTTATTTTCTGGAAAGAAAGAAGTGGTTTCCTGGTAATTTATGATCACAAGATTTTATCTCCAAAAACTAATTACAAAAATCATCAATCGAATTTTAAATCATGCAGAATCGAGAATTTTAATGATGTCATTCATACGCGTTATTATTTTAATAATAAAAGACGCGAAATAATGTGCGATACGAAACAATGATTAATAACATTTATCAAGAGCAATCGAACGCGTTTTGAAATTATAAAACAGAACGCAGCATGTACGCATCCAGGTTCTGTAACGGTAACTATTATTTATGAGTCTCAAAAAGGATATCTTTTGCCAACGGCTAAAAAAACAGCCTAAAAAATCACACGGTGATCAATTCAACACAAAGAGACGAACAAAGTAGGACTTAATACAATTGAAGTCAATCAGATGCGAATTTGTAAAATAGGTTTTCTATTTGCATGGGGCTTAGGTTCAGTAAATCCGGATTGGTGTTTTTCCGACCTCATACAGATTAATTTCGGTTGTGGTGTAGTACGATATATATATATATATATATTCATTATTTCATTGTTCAACATGTTCCCAGGGGGAAATTGATAGAACGTTTACGTACACAACACAACTCATCTCCCTGTTATTATTTGTTTTTTATTTGTTTTATATAAGAATTAATCGTTTGTTTTTTTATATAATAAAATATAAGATATTCACATTTTTTGAGAGGACTGCATACCTGCATAGATGGCGCTGCCTGCTTTTGTATAAATAAACCCACAACCACCCGAATTTTTATCCCTTGGTGTTTCATATTTTACAATCATATACATTCAGGGCCAATTTTTTTGCTTTTCTTTTAGTACCAAATCCTCTCCAAACTCTTATCCGTCACCCAAATCTTTATTTTTTATAATGTACAGTCAACATGGAAATACTCAGTCACACCATCAGCAAGCCGTAGTACCGAGAACCGATTACCATAGCGTTGGGCGTAGTGAATATCCTCCTCCACCTGAAGGATACTATCCTCAACATCATCCTATATATTACGATTATCATCATCCCCCACCACACTTTGCCACATATCTCCCAACAACAATGAATCCAAATGTACCAGTACCACATTCGGATGAATATCAAGACCGTAATTCAAAAAGAACAAAACCGAATAATGCTGATACATCTGCAACGACTTATGAAGCCAATGATAAGAATAAAATTCTCTCTCCCGCTAAGAATTCAATACCTGTATTATCAAATCCACGAATAAGGTATAGGAAAGATCGTTTCGGTACCTTTGACGTTACAGCCGGAGAGGAGGAGGACAAAAGGTACGCCTCTCCGCAAGCATGATAAATTTTCTGTTGTCGCAAAGTTGGACCTTTATACGAATAAATTTGGAATAATTGATCCTTGAGATCATTATACTCGGTGACTTTCTTGGACTATTGCGGTTAATCAACTCACATTAGATTGATTATTTGTCATTCTTCATTGACACAAGATAAAATTACACGATTTTCATATAGAACATATAAGTTGATAGTTTGTCAACAGCCGCTACGTGCTCGTATGTGCGGTTTCGGCGAAAAAGATCGACGTCCAATCGATCCACCGCCGATCGTACAGTTAGTGGTGAATGACGAAAACGGAAATCTGGATTCCAGGTGATTAAATCTATTCATTTATTTGTTTTTCCTTGTATTTATATAAAATCTTTATATGATCAATCGTTGTTTTTTTTTTTTTTTTCCTATTAGCACGAGCCTAAGGTTTTTCATAATTCATTAATTTTATTGAATTAGATAAAATTTATCATAATAATAAAATTTTCTTTTATAATTAATCTCAGTATGTTACAGAATCCATTTTTCGTCCTTCATGTCACCCTGTGGTCTGAAGATTGTAAAGAGGAACGCAATGTAATTAGCAACCCACCCAAAATCACGCGCGTACTTATGGGTTCTCTTGTTTCATCTCCGGCCATTCTAAAAAATACGGATGGAGAACCGGGCTGTTACTTTTGTTTTCCTGATCTTTCTATACGTACGGAAGGCAAATATACACTAAAATTTTCACTAATGAAATTAGGAACGTCAGTATATCTTTATTAATAATCATTTTATCCATGAATATATTACCTTTATGCAATATATATATAACCAATAAATCGTATTTTTTAAACTTTAGCGAAGACCGTTTGATAAATACAAGAACAGACATTATTTCTACTGCATTCTCAAACCCGTTTACTGTATATTCGGCCAAGAAATTTCCCGGAATGACTGGTAAGGTTGATTACAGACATTATGATCACTTTTCATCAATTAAAAGTAATTTGAATGCTTTCGATAATACATTAGAATCTACAGAGCTTTCGAAAGCCTTTGCAAAACAAGGTTTAAAGATTCCCATTCGAAACGACGTTCGACCAAGAAAAGTCGCCGAGGATTGATATTATGCCAATCGATGTTTTTTATATATCGAAATTTTTTGAAATATAATAGTTTATCTTATAGTATGAATCTTTATTTTTGTATCTTTATATTGTAAAATAATATATTTCCTTAGGGCTTCTATGGAACTTAAAAAAAAAATTAAAATTTTTTTTTAAGTTAATAAGGTTAGACACTTTATATGATAATTATACGTCACGGGACGTATTATAAGGGGGAAAGGGATTTTATTCCTAATCTATTTCAAAATAAACCGTAGGACACAAAATATTGATTTAATAATTACGCTGTATTGTTTATTTGGAGATGCAAACGACTCGGTCTGGTTCGTATATTATAGCTGTTCTCATAAATTCTGGGACAACTGATAAAATTGATCGGCCGAATTCAATTAGTTTTTGAATTCGGTGTTATCGGATTACAACTGTTTTCATAAATTCTGGAAAATCTGGCAAAAGTTGACCGACCGAATATTTGCTGATTCGATATGTTTAGCTAAACTTTTGATTCGGATGTGATTACATCCGAATCAAAGTTTATCACTGCCGAATCAAAACTTATCGCATCGGCAAATATTCGGTCGGTCAATTTTTTGCCAGATTTTCCAGAATTTATGAAAACAGCTGTAATGTAATGCGAAAATTCAATTCCGAAAACACCGAATTCAAAAACTTATCGAATTCGGCCGATTAAATTTTTATCAGTTGCCCCAGAATTTATGAGAACAGCTGTAATTGTAATAAAATTATTGGTCAATAGAGCCGAACGAGCCAATTGTATCTCTAGATTTATGTTCATGTAAATTGTATTAAGATTTTATGCCTTCGATAATATTTGCAGTTAATTTGTCATGATCTTCAGGAGCTGAAAGATACTTATCATCAACACAGTGCAAGGAATATCCCTTGGTTTGTCCTTTTCAAAGTTATCGGATATGGGATCGGACACGAATCAAAAAATATCGATATGATCACTTACATAGACCCCGATATATCCATTGTAGTTCGTCCCGGTTTCTAATAAGGTGGTTCATTAATGTTTGTTAGGTTATCTTGGTTTCAAAAGCTAACGCTAACCGTTAACTATATTCAACATTCAAACATCTAACTTAGAAACAAGCTTTTTTGTTAGATAATAACATCACTTTACTAAAAAATATTTGTTTTAAAAATAAATACAGCTTGGGGTGTGGAACATCAATCTAATTACAAACATAGTGTAATATCAAGATTTTTTATGAGTACTGTAGATTAATGATTTGAACCGGGAAAATTTTTCTTCATCGGTTAACCGAACCGAAATATTTTATGCCAACCGATTAAGCCGGTTAAGATTACTTCACACCTCGGAAAGTCTCGGACCTTTACCCAAATTTTTGTCTCCATCTTGCTCGTCTTTTATGTTCATTTATTTTCCTTTCGGAATTCTTGCTCATTCCTGATCCTTCCACCCGATTACCGATTTTCAACCGGTTGTACGGGCCAACCGATTAAGAATTACTCAACCGGGTACCGAAATTTATTCGGCTCGGGTAGGTTAACCGATTATAGCCCAACCAGTTCAACTCTCTACTGTAGATCGACAATAATTTAATAGTAAAAACATATAAAGTTAAAGCTGCAATAACTCCTGAACCAGCAAACCTACACAAATAAAATTAATATTTGTCAAGTTCACTATAATGTGCTCTTTAAATTAATAACGCTTATTTTTTGATTTTATTTTTATTGCCTGAAGTGTAGCAAGTACTTAAAGTAATATATTGTTAATAAAAACATTAAAAACATAATTTTGAATTTTTTTGTGCATATTGTAACATATAAAATAGCTACGTTTTTGATATTTTTATTAATAATAAATCAATATATAATAAGTACTTGTTATGCTTTAGACAATAAAATAAAATCAAAAAAGAACATTATTACTTTAAAGAACACATTATAGTAAATTTAACAAATATAATTTTATTTGAATAGGTTTGCTAATTTAAAGGTTATTGCAGCTTGAACTTTATATATTTTTATTATTAAAGTATCAATTTATAATACTTTATAAAAAATCTTGATTAGTGGTTATTATTATAACTTGCATTATGTTTGTAATTAGATTTATGTTTTACATTTTAATAATAGTTGGTTTTACAATTGTAGTATTAAATCTGTAAACTGAATTTAGATTTAATTTTTTATTTGTTAAGACTGATATTATCAGTAGCTACTACCTTTATTTGTGTTTTAATTAATACATTACATGTAACTTATATAAAGCAAGTGTGCAACTAGTTATATATATAACTTTTGATTACTTATTTAAATAGTCTGTCCAAGGGTTTTATATTAGTTATCATTTTTGTAATCTATTAGAAAGCTATTTATTTAAATATTTTATTCTTATATTGCATTCAGATAGGTAACACCTAGTTCTTATACAACTAAGTACTATTTAACCCAATATTTAGCTTCTTTTTTTGTATATCTGTCAAGCTGTTATACATTCTAGAGCATGTTATCTAACTGTAAAGTTCATCAGCAGAATAAATATGTGAAATATTGCGAAAGATTTTGCATACCGAAAAACTTTCGAAATAACTGCGATTGACGAGAAATTATTTCGAAATAAAATAATTTCACAATATTGCGAAAGTAACGAAATAATTTCGAAAGTATTTCAGCTAATTTACAAAATTTTAAAAAATATTAAAACTAA